TTTCGGTAATAATCCCAGTGTTCTACAATGTCACCCTTACAAAGTGAAAAAAATCTTATAATATGTATACTTCTACATTTATGATGCATACATGCTTATGAGGGAAAAGAAATGTGTGCATGACCATGATATTCGGCAAATGATTATAAGACTCTTCCATAGTGTTTTTTATTTTTGTATGCGCTTCTTCCTCAGATGTGCTTCACGAAGTATCAAACTATTTTTTTCTTTTCTTGGAAACTTTACAAGACTCTAATCCAATTATTCCGAGTTTTTTTCAATTCTTTTCATAAATGATTTTTGAAGGAAATCCCAAACTGTATGCTTTACTTATAACATTTTCTGTGTATAAATTCTTGGATTCACAAGGGCTCTAATTACTGCAGGAAAGCTTTTAAAAGGTAAGGTTCTTCCAAAAGAAGAGGAGAACTTCCAGAAACTCTACGTAAAGGCACCTTCATTTCTCTCTATTCACATGGGAGTCAGAGAGGAGGTTTTGCCACCAGATACAGATTGCCATCATTTCATTTTAGAGGTACAATAATTATATGTGTTTGTATATGGGTTTTTATTCTTATAACAAATGAAGAAACACACAGCTATTTATGTCTATTTGTTCTTAACTTCTGATTTATTAACTATAAGAGACTGAGTGATTTCTACTGTTTTAAACTTGAACAGGATGACTGGACCAAGCTGGAGGAGCCATATGGAAGTATCTTTTTGAGTATTCCGACTGTTCTTGATCCATCATTGGCTCCAAAAGGGTGCCATATTCTTCACATCTTTACCACGTCTTGCATAGAGGACTGGGAGGTGATTACCATGTCCAACCATTATTTTTTAACTTAAGAAGTGACGCAGTTCTTGGCATTTTATTGTTGAGAAGAATATCAAAGCATGCAAGTAAATAAGCAAACATACATAAAACTCTGCACGAAGTAGTTGGAGAAGGAAATCAACATAAGAAGCATCAGAAGCTTCAAAATTTTCTTCCTCAGAAGAAATCAATAACAAGAATAAATAATCAAAGTATATTCTCAACTCCCCAATAGCAATTCTCTCTCCCTGAACATATAGAAGAAAGGAATCTGTGCACCGATATCAGCCATAAAAGGTCCAAGCCATAACAAATGAGAAGCTATACAACTGAGCTCCAATATAATTACTCTGATGGAGCTGGCTCTTCTAGGTACTTGAATATTTAGGGCAGGGGAAGCAGTGGACAGAGTCTATCTTAAACCAACCTCTCATCCACCGCCTTGGGGGTGGCCACAGATATACTGACCCGTAAAAGTTTATGGCTGGCAAGGGATCTTTTTTTGAATTAATGTTTAAATAACATTGAACACTAAAAACCCTAAGGCTATGTTTGATAACAAGGAAACCAGGGAAAACATCTGCTATTCACAGTTAGTGTAGCCTTCCTTTGTTTGATGGAGGGATAACTAAGAAAAGTGGAGCTCCACTTTTCTCTCCCCCCACGGCCTTCGTTCTTTGAGAAAATGGCAGCCCGCACCATGTAATTAATTTTAATTTTAAAATAAACTTTTGGTTGAGAAAATAAAAGCTAGATGCTATAATAACAAATTTACCATGAGATTTCCATTTTTCTGCATGAGCCTCTTGGGTAGACCCGCTTTGAGCCTCTAGGGCTTAACGACGCTAAGTCTTCCCCACCCTAGAGAGTAGTATGTGGCATGTGATGGTTGCTTTTTGTGATGACATTATTCGATATCATACTTTGACATGGTTATTTGAGTTGAAAATATAAGTTCTTAAAAAAAGGGCCCATCCAAAGAAAGAGGAGAGAGAGAGAGAGAGAGAGAGAGAGATTTATTGGAATAATAATTTATGATTGAATCTTCTATTTTGTGAGTAATGACATGGATGGTTTATAACCAAAAAAATCTTTGCCTAAGATAAATTTTAACTTCTAATTAATGAGTCACATGGTGAATGGTTAAACAGCAATTTCCAACTAAGTTACTATGCAAGGTAAATTGCTATTACTAGATTGCCCAGACAAGTTACCAAACAAGGGTTGCCAGTTTCCAGTTCATTGTCTTTCCTTTTTCCCCATTTTTGATGACACCCAGCTTCTCAGAAATTCCTAGGGAAATTCCTAGGGAAAGTACGTTCCAAGTTATCTGAAATGGCTTAAAAGTTCCAACGAAATCTTAGCCATTCCCTCTAATATCTTCCATTGATTCATATCATAGTCCTGCTATATAAAAACACCTTAAAAAAACTAAATCAAATACGAATAGAAATCCAAAGAAAATTTGTAACTTCCCACAGTAACTTATAGAATGTCTCAAAAGTAAACCCCTTGATATATAAAAAAGTCTCTTACTTCCCATAGTTCTAGGATCCATCTTTGGTCCTTGCTGTGTTTGCATCAATAAGATTGTTCTTTTGTTAAAGTATGCTTAACAAGGTTATGCTCAATAGGTCAAACCCATCTCTCAATTGTAAGGCAATTGTTGCAAACTTGAGGTTATGGGTTCCTAACCAACTTATCAGAGGATATGAATTGTTCGCTTTCAAGTTTATTGCATTGCCGTCAATTACTTTTAGTGAATCTTCTATTTTTCTTCTTGTTGGATCAGGGGCTCCCAGTAAAGGAATATGAAGCCAAAAAGGAGGCTGTAGCAGACAAGATTATCTCTAGACTGGAAAACAAACTATTCCCAGGCTTGAAGCAATCAATAACATTTAAAGAGGTATTGTAAATTGAAAGGGAACTGTTTATAGTAGCTTATGCAATAGTTGAGTGGCTACATAACTTGGACACACGTGTCCATGTTTTTTTGCACCTGTCGACACACCAAGGACACTATACATGTGTTTGATATTTCAGAAATTTAGGCACTTTTATGTAACATTCTTCTTAAAAACTCACTATAAAAGTACTCAATCCACCTAAAATTCCACCCCCCCTCTTCCTTAAATGCAGTATCTATTGTATGTTTATGCCACATAATTGAGATGGTTTAGAGGGTTTCCATACTTATTTCATTCTGTATTTGTTGTACTGGGTAGTCAATAGATTCAATACAGTCAGCAATTTCTCCTTTATAGGTGTTTCTGTTTCAGTAGAACTACATTCTTTGGCATTTGTCTTGTGTTGGGGCTTGTTTGGATAGCCTGATTCTTGGAAAACTATCAGGTGTGCGACTGTCTTGATCCTTCTGATCATCTGTCGAAGTGCCTATTCTTTCACTGCATCAGCCATCAAAAAGATGAGACAGAGGGAAACTTGTTTCTTGGATGTGAGAGAGAGAGAGAGAGAGAGAGAGAGAGGAAAGGTAAATAAG